AAAAAAAAAAAAAAAAAAACCCCTCCAGACTAAGCAATTAAAAGATAAATTTTAAAGTGGCATTAATGTTGTAATGGGAGGTAGTGATGGGGAAGAACAAGTACAGTTAAGGACAGCAAGGTGAACTTTGTGTAAGTTATTAAAATGATCTGTTGCTGACAGAGGCTGTTAATAGCAGTATTCCCATCTGCTACATCAACCACTTTGGCTGCTTGTAGACAAAGAACTTGAAAAATTGCTGCAGACAGACAATAAAGGAACGGTGAGAGATATGATCTATCAGCCCTTTTGCAACAGCGCTGAAAGTGATTGTCTTTCCGTGCTGGAAATTAAACTCTTTCAATTCTAGTTAATGAGAACCGGGTCAGGAGGGACCCATTGTCAGCAGAGGATCTTTTTTGTAGACTAGATTGAAGCCAGGACAGGCGTGGAAAGCTTCATGGGACTGACAGCGCTGATGCGGCGCGTGTGTAGCAGATACTGCTATGCACACATTTCACAGGCTGTGGGAGAGCTGCTCCCTGTGAGCAAGCAGGGCTCACATTGACCGTTGCAATTATTTTTTCATTGCCATTTTATCTTTTGGTTTTAATGAGCATTGTGGGGAAAAAAAGTCATGTCAAAAGAAAAAAGAAACTTTAAATTTGTGTTTTAGGCTCTGTATGCTCAGCTTCCTTTTATAACAGAGGCTTTTTTTTTCTTTTTTGAAATAAAAGGAATCTGTTTGAAAGTTTGAACTAGGCTGTTCTCAACTTGTGCATGCACAGTGCTTAAATTCTGCACATAGCATTTCAGTCAGTAGACCTGAACAGGACCTTTGTTGGAAGAAAAACCTGTAGTCCACCCAGGATGAGAAATGAAGGGCCTTGTTTGGTTTCAGTTGTGATTCAGAATCTGTTTTCCTGTGCATTGAAAAAACTGATTTTTAAAATTGTAATATTCAGTGATGTATCTGGTGTTTGGCAAGATATTTAATATCCGCTGCTCATGTTCTCTGTTGTCAAGAGTATACTAAAAATGTAGTGATTATAACTTTTATGTTACTACAAGTTTATAATTTATAAGGATGTGATTGCCAATAAAATATTTTATTAATTTAAACTAGTTTTGTACTAAAGGATTTTAGCATGACCTGTTTGTCCCAGGATTTTATGGTAAAGAAGCCTGTATGGAGAAAAGTGTTCAGAAGAAGTTGTGTGAGAGTTAATTTGACTATGAGTGAGTATTAAGAGAACTTTTGAACGCTGCCAAATCCCTTCTCTTAAGGGATGGGAAAAGTTGGATGTGTCGCGGTGGAAAAGGGGGCTGGCCGTGAGGAGAGGCCTTGGCGGGAGCGCGGGCCTCCTGCAGCAGCTTCGCGCGCGCGTGGCCCCTGGCGCGGCCCGTAGCGGCCCGGCCCCGCCCCGCCCCGCGCCGGGCTATAAGGCGGCGCGCGGCTCCTCCCGGCGCTGCGCGGCGGAGGCGACATGGCGTCCACCAGCCGGT